TGATTATCAAAACTGAATTTATCGTCCTTTGTGTCCTTCTAACATACTGCCAATGCCCAAGAAACAAAAAAACACAAATTTTTGTCATATTTTGGCAATGAATGTACATTCGTCATTTGGGTTATGTCTATGTGACTTAGAACTGATCAAAACTGATTGTATGTTGAATACATACTGAACTACCTGATTCTTCATTATTTGCATGTAGGTAGGTAGGAGGAAGATTGCCGAAAGTTCGAGGCTAACCTTAGCTACATAGTGAGTTCCAGGCCAGCCTGAACTATAAATCGAGACCCTCCCTCTCTCATTCAAAAAATAAAAGAGACAGTGAGACACTGTCTCAAAGTAAGAAAGGAAAACAAGTTAACACAAAAAGTAATGTATGATTCTTGAAGAAAAATCAAAACATAAGAAAGTCATAAAAAAGAAGCATTATGTTGTAATCCACCTAGCTTATTGTTGGGTTTTACTCTTTTAAATAGACCTTGGTTGAACATGTGAAAAGATAAATCCTTGGATCACTTTGAGGATTCATTCTTGAATCCTTTCGTGTGCTGTCAAACTGTCTTCTAGCAAAGTTGTACTTCTCTGCATGATACAAGGACAGCTGCTTCAAATATCCTCCGACTAAGTGATCTTTATGTCCACAAGCACTGTGGGCACCAAGCACACAGAGAACACAACTTCTCAGAATCTATAGGATCCAGCAAAGATGCTCTAAGAGATGAAGTGACAGTTATGAGGACCTACATGATAAAACCAGAGAGACTTCCAAGCCAGTAACTTTAGCAAGCATCTCAGTGCATTAGAAAAAAAGCAACAACAAGTCAAACCCAAAACTAGCAGAAGGAAATAATGAAAACCAGGATTGAAGTTAATGAATGAAGAATAAAATAATGATGTCAAGTATCAATGAAGCAAAGAAATTTTCAATAAATTGCGTTAAAGCTGAATTCAATAGCATGCTCAAAACATCATATGTATCATGATATGCTGACTCCGTTCCAGGTACACAAGGGCAGGTCATTTACAAATTGGTAGACACAACACAACAAATAAATATAATCATTATCAAAAGTCATGTAGTAATATCATGGATGTAGAAAACACTTTTGACAAAATTCAACAACCCTTCATGATAAGAAAAAATCATAAGAAAATATGAAATAGAAGGATCATACCTCAGATAATAAAGTACATATATGATAAATATATTTAGCATTACACTGAAAAGATAGAAACTGACAGTGTTTCCTCTGGATCAGGAGTAAGATAAGGCTATCCATTCTCTTCATTCGTAATATGCTGATTTAAATCTCAGCAAGAACAGTGTGGTAGCTTGAATATGAATGGCCCCTTAGATCATATGTTTGAAATTAGTATCCAATTGGTGGAACTGTTTTTGAAAGATTGGAGGTGTGGCCTTGTTGAAAAAGGTGTGGCCCTTTTGGAGGAATGTGTCCTTGGGGGTGGACTTGGAGGTTTCAGAACCCACAACAGTCCTATTCCTGCTCTCTCTCCCTCCTCTCCCTCTCCCTCTCTCTCTTCTCTCTTCTCTCTCTCTCTCTCTCTCTCTCTCTCTCTCTCTCTCTCCCTC